GAATGGGCCCCCTTCGGGGGCAAGCCACGCTATTGTAATAAAAACATTAAAAAATAAAAAATAGTATACTTTTATTATAAAAGTTAATATTATTGCCACTTGTACAGTTTCTGCAAGAGGGGTTATGGGGGTGGGTGACATAAACAACGACTTTCAACTTGGTTGTACTAAAAAAAAACTACCGTTTCACAACATTAAACCTACACAAATTAAAAATATCTAGAACGACGAGAAACAGTTTTACATGAGATTTGAGTTTTTTTTTTAAAGGGGGGTGTTGTAGGTTCGGGGGTGTATAAGATGAGATTGGCCTCTTTTTTATTTTTCAAATGACTTACGACCATGAATAACTTACTAATTTTTACTGAGACCTTAATATGCTTAAAATACCATTTTATTGCTCGCATGCAAATTCTCTTTTTGATTAACATGGGGGATATTTTAAACCAAGGGGGGGGGGTTTAAAATTAGACAATATCGATTTTAATTATATTTAAGGTAATTTGAACCGAATACCAACACCGCTAAAATTTCAATGTTCTATCGCTAAAATGAGTGTGTAAGTAGGCTTATTCCTAAATTCCAAGGACACAACTATCGAAATGGGGTTTTTTGAGGGGGTTGGAGTATAGATAGGTAAAAGGCACAATGGAACAAAATGTACACCATAAAATTTTGTATACAAAACATTTGTTTGTTTATATATAATCTTGCGTTTATATAATTTTTAATTGATGAGAATCTTTAAAATCGGGATTTTTTATTTTAACTAAAATTATCCCCCCGAATTTGAGGGTTAAGTAGGGTGAGTAAAAATTCCGAAATCGGTTAAGGATGAACTTTAGGCATATTTAAAAACAAGTAATAGGTCAAACATACCCAAAACGGATTTTAACCTTCTCCAGGGCAGCCAACCCCCCAAAAAACAAGGAAAAATGGCTAAATTTCAAGTTTAAGCATGAATTTGGGGGTGAAGGAGTGAAGATGGAAAAAAATTTTAAAATACAAAGTTGTAGATCGTCAAAAGTAAAGATACGTAGGTGCTATCCGTTTCTTGATCAGACCTACGGTTGAGCCGCGACGGACGTTTGAACAAAAAAACATGATGAAAAATTCCAAAATTTTGTGTTTAGAGCGAAATATAGGGGGGAAGGGGTGGAGATAGAAAGAAACTTTATATTATAAAATTGTAGCTCGTTTAATTCTAAATACAGTAAGTGTGCTCCGTTTTTTGATTAGACCAACGGTTTAAGCACAATAAACGTTTAAAAAAAACGCCTTTTTCGGGATTTTCTAAAATCCACCCTCTTGAATTATTTTGGGAGGGTTGAAATTTGAAAATGTCACTTTTGGCAATTTTCTGGGTGATTTGGGACTAATACCTATAATTGTACGAAATTTCAGATCTCTAGCTATTCTAGAAGTCGGTAAACATTAGTATACCTGATCAGTGAGTGAGTGAGTGAGTTACACATCGGGCTGTATATTTAGTATAGTTAGTTAGACTCGCCTTGTGCTCGCTGGGGGCTCCGCCCCCAGGCCCCCTTTTAATAGTAGCCGTGATGAGAAATTGTCACGGGGGACAGGATGTTGTCCGGAAACATTTTTGCTTTTTGCGTAAAAGACGTAGTGATAACTTGGCAGTTGCGAAGTATTTTATAGGGGGGTTGTTTAGTGCAAACCAAACCAGTCTTGGCATGTTAGAGTCTCGATGTAGGGCCGGTGCTATGATGAATTAAATTTGCTAAGTCACAACCTCTAAAACTTTCTTCACATCAATAAGCATCGATATAAAGCCTTAGGAGTTAGAGTGAGGTAAAATAATATTTTTAAATAATCTTAAGCCCCCTTCGGGGGCGGGGGGTTGGTAAAAATTATCGACATGAAGAATGGACCCCTTGCGCAGTAATAATCACCAAAAATAGGGAAAAAAGGTAAAATTTCAGGTTTAAACACGAATTTGGGGTGGAGATGGGAAAAAATTTAACTAAACGCATGGCTCAATCAAATCCTGGTTGAAGTTCGTTCGCTACGCTCACTCACCTTTAGGTTGGAGCTCGTTCGCTGCGCTCACTTGCCTTCAGGTTAGCTCGTTCGCTGCGCTCACTTGCCTTCAGGTTAGCTCGTTCGCTAGGCTCACTTGCCCTCAGCCTAGTTCGTTCGCTACGTTCACTCACTTTTCGGTTGGAGCTCGTTCGCTGCGCTCACTTGCCTTCAGGTTAGCTCGTTCGCTACGCTCACTCACCTTTAGGTTGGAGCTCGTTCGCTGCGCTCACTTGCCTTTAGGTTAGCTCGTTCGCTACGCTCACTCACCTTTAGGTGTGAGCTCGTTCGCTGCGCTCACTTGCCTTCAGGTTAGCTCGTTCGCTGCGCTCACTTGCCTTCAGGTTAGCTCGTTCGCTGCGCTCACTTGCCTTTAGGTTAGCTCGTTCGCTACGCTCACTCACCTTTTGGTTGCAAATTAGCTATTGTCATAGATTTAAAAAAAATATTAGTGCTGCACCCTGTTGCTAATGGTAACATTTTATTAATGGGGATGAAAGAGGGGGGGGTTAGAATGGTATTGGTCTAAATATCCATAATAATTTACCTCCTTACATTTTGATCTCGTTTGCGTGTATAAGCATGTTAATTTTCTATAAGGAATACGTTAAAAAAAGCGTTAAAAAGTACCTTTTTGAATAAAAACCCGCCATTTTAAATTTTTTAGTATGTTAAAATTATAGAAGGTCACTCAAGGGACTTTCTTTTCAACGTTAAGACCATAAAAAGTACAAATATATGTACGAAAAGTCGTTTTATAAATTAAAAACACCAAAAAATCTAGAATTTTTTTCAATTTTTCGAATTAGGGCGTTTTTTGAAGGTGAAGGAGTCAGATTTTCGATATGACCCCTTCCTCTGAGAAAACTGTCTTGTAGAAAATTTAATTCTGAACCTACGATTTTCCCTCAAATCGATTCTAGCTCTTACCGTATTCAAGCTACAGCAGAATAAAAAAAAACATGTTTTTCCCAAAAAAAACTAGGGTTTTACGGGATTTCTTTTGGCGGGTTTCAGTTGGAAAAACTAAATTTTGGGACTCTCTGGGTGGTTTGGTACCCAGACGAACCTTTAAACAAAAATTTCAGCTCCCTAGCTACTCTAGAAGTGACAAAAATGTTTTTTCTGTCACCAAACGCCCATATTTCACCTACTGACGTTTACGTCTAGTTTGCCTGTCGACGCATGTTAATTCTCCATAAGAAATACATTAAAAAACAATCTTTTTTATTACAAATCCGCCATTTTGAATTTTTTTGTAGGTTAAAATTATTGAAGGTCACTCTAGGGACATTCCTTTAAATGTTGGGAGCATAAAAAGTAGAAATATATATACGAAAAGTCGTTTTAAAAATTAAAAACACGTAAAAAAATAGAGGATTTTCACAATTTTTGGAGTTAGAGCGTTTTTTGAAGGTGAAGGAGTGCGAATTTCGATATGACGCCTTCTCTGAGAAAACTGTCTTGTAGAAAATTTAATTTCGAACTCACGATTTTTCCTCAAATCGATTCTAGCTCTTACGGTTTTCGAGCTACAGCCGTTTTAAAAAAACATGTTTTTCCGAAAACCGAAATTTTTGTGGATTTTTTTTTGGGGGGGTAGAATTTTGAAAATGGGGTTTTTAAGGATATTACCGGTAATTTAAGATCCCATAGTACAATACTACGCAAATTCCAAGTCTCTAGCACGTTTCTAAACGGTTCAGATGAGCGTACGAAAATTGGTGTTTTTCAACGTTATTTCCCATAAGAATAACATGGGGGGGAAATCGTTAATTTAGGGGGGGTTGGAAGAGGAAAATGCCACTTTTCAGATTTTTCCCGGGGGTCTGGGCACTAGACCTTCAAAACACCGAAAATTTCACGTCTCTAGCTCATCTAGAAGTGCCCAAACATTAGTATACGTTACTAGTTACACATCCGGCTGTATAATATAAAGGTTGGGACTCGCCTTTGGCTCGCTGGGGGCTCCGCCCCCAGGCCCCCTACATTAGAGGAGGTTGGCAAGTTAATTTCAAGCTCCACCTTAACGAACCCCTTATAAAAAATCATTCTTAAGGCTGATAAAAAAAGATTAGTAGATAAGAGTTTAGTTGTAACAAAGCAGGAATATTTATAAATTAAAATCGATTAAGTAATGTTTGTTTCCCTGTCGGTTAGCCATAAACTGTATGGTATATCCAGTTCCGCAACGGGGAGGCCAGGAAAAGTCGGAACTATATTTTATAATTATCGATATAGTAAATGAAGTAAATTGTTTATATAGTTAATGAAGAATTGTGATATTATTGACGAAAGTAACATTGGTTGAAATTGAAAGTTTTGGTATATTAAGTTAGAAGATGGTAGTAAAAATGTATATGTATTAATAGAAGAATATTAATAATACCATAGATAAATCATAGCTTAGTCTATGATAATACTGTGGGGTAGTGGATTGGCAGTAGTTTATGTATAAAAAAATATATATCTATGAACTAATGTTTGTTTCCCTGTCAGTTAGCCATAAAGTGTATGGCATATCCAGTTCCGCCACGGGGAGGCCAGGAAACGTCGAAACCATTTTATTTACAGTTATAAAGATTAACAGTAATAGTATTTCAATTAAAAAGATGGTAGTAAATATTTATAAATATAGTAATGGGAATCAATTATGTAATGTTTGTTTCCTTGTCAGTTAGCCACAAACTGTATGGCATATCCAGTTCCGCCACGGGGAGGCCGGGAAACGTCGGAACCACAAACAGTAACACAAAACACACAAAAACACACGAAACACACAAAAACACAAGAAACACACAAAAACACACGAAACACACAAAACACACAATAACAAACTAAAGGTCGGGGACTTTTGTTAAGGCAGACCCCTTGTCGTACTGCCGTGGATGTCAAATCACGACGGGGAGTTTTGTTAAAGCAGATCCCCTAGCCTACTGCTTAGGTCAAAGTAGGAATTAACGAAGGAGCTCGTCGTATACAATGTTCTTTGCATAGGCAACTCCTTCGTGGACCCTGTCAGGATGGACCAGAACAACGATGTCGTCAGGATGTCTGACTCTACTGAGAAGGACGTACAGTTGACCATGCGTGAAACAGTCACTGCGAAGATCGACTCCGACACGATCAATCGTCTGGCCCTGGCTTTTGTGGCCAGTCATGGAATAGGCCAGCATGAGAGGAAACTGGAGACGGCGGACGCGAAGCGGAGACCCCTCGACAAACGGGAAAACGAATTGAATCCGGGGAATACAAATCGAATCGCGTTGTCCAGGAAGTCGCACCGTGATCAGACGAGGTCTAATAGCGGTCACGATCACTTTGGTGCCGTTTACGAGTCCGCTGTCAATGTTCAGGTTCCTCATGACGAGACACACGGAGCCAATCTTGAGTCGCAGGACATGGTCTGGCACGCCCTTGCCAGTAGCCTGGTTCAACAAGTGAACGTCCACATCCATACCGTCGTCGTGCTCCTTGTCCACGGAATCAGCACTTCTCAACTCATGAACGAAGCCGTCAGTCAGATTAAGAACGGCGTTGTTGATCTGCTGGACATTGGTGTTCATGGTTGAAAGAATAGCCCGGCCTGCGATTCTATCTGTATGGCTCAGGTCACAAACGGGGAATACAAAGTCAACTAAATCGTGAAGTGATGTCACATATCTAATACCGCTCAAAGGAATCAGACTTGAGCAGCCACGGCCTTCTTCAAAATCTACAGATCTAATTGTTCCATTGCCTACTTTTAGGAGAAACTCGGAGTACGCAGTGGAGCCAGAAGTTCTGTGAGGGGTGGACAGGGAAAAGATTTTGAAGCTTGACCACAGAGATGACGCACACAGTGACACACAAGCAATGTCTGCTGGAGTACGAGCTTTAGCTACAACTGGTGCGATCTGACGGAAATCTCCGCAGCAGAGGAAGATCTTGTTCCCAAATGGCTCAGGTGAATTCATGAGGTCACGCAGAGATCTGTCGATGATTTCAAAAATGTACCGGTGAGCCATCGGGGCCTCATCAAAAACTATGAGCTGGGCTGCTCTGATGAGTTCTGCACGCTGAGATCCGTTGGTCAAGTTCCAATACCCAGTGCCATCGCCGAGATCAAGTGGCAGCCTAAACATACTGTGTGCTGTCGTGCCACCAGGCAGACTACCAGCAGCAATGCCGGAGCTAGCGACAGCAATAGCAACCCTGTTAAGACTACGAACGTATGCGAGGATCACATGAATTAAGAAGGTCTTGCCGTAGCCACCAGGTCCGTCGAGGAAGATAAGTTTTATGGACCGACTACCAACCTGGCCATGTAATATCGATCTTACATAATCAAACACCACTCTCTGGTCGTTGGAAAGCTTTGGTTCCCACTCATCTACCAGTGATCTCTGTTGATTCTCACCGTAGATGAGTAGTTCCCTACCCAATTCGGTCGTGTCGTCATCTACAATGGGCAGACCGTGGTCGGCCAAGCAGGATCCCTGACGGCGAAGACTTCGATCGATTTCAATCAGACCCAGCTTGAAAGCAACGTCGTGATCAAGAGGATTCCGCTCCAAATGGTCCTCACACAATGTATCCCGGAAAGCATCCCACAAGAGGGCCGCGGGAGCTCCCATGTTACAAAGTAGAACAAAGAAAGAGCGGAGCCTCGGGCCGACCATAAATCGAGCAGCTTCCTTCAGTGCCTGGTGGTACTCGTCCTCATCTTCAACCAAACCGAGGGTGCGTGCTACTTGTTGGAATGTAGTGCAACCATCACCACCTCGAGCGAGCAGATCGGCGTAACCACGGCATGGTATTATCATGAGCAACAGCCGAAGAAAATATTGCTCACTCCTGTTTGGTGAAACCCAGAAGAGTCGACAGATCTTTTGGCCACGTTTTCTGGAAGTTAAGAAGTGCTTACCGTCTGGATGTTCGTAAACCTCAGCACTACTTGGACGTTTGCTGTGAACAATGTATTGTTCAAAAAAACACTGGTACGTCAAATTGTCAAACATTGGGTCACGAGGCCTATTGAAATAAAAGATCAAGTCAGAGGTAGCTCCAGAAGTGGCGTGTGTCAAGTTGTTAGGTCGAAAACACACATTCTGTTTTCCCTCTAGATGAACAGGGAGACATTCAACGGTGGGCTCAGACTTTGATATTGGGAAATCCAAGAGACGCCAGCATGCATCACTGGCTCCCACCATACGCTTAGTCACATAGTGCTCGACTTCATCGTCTTGTTTACTCAAAGGAGTAACTTTGACGTTCTGAAGCGAGCCACCCTTCATTAGATATTTAAATAGATACTTAATCACTCGTCGAGTGGAAGCTACCTCTAAGTTGATGTGTGCCTCATATTTTAGAAGCAATGCTGAGTTATACGGTACAACCCAGCCGTCATGCACAGGAATCGATCTGTTCCTTGACGTTATACTCCCTTCATTATTGTAATCACGCCGATATTGTACAAACCCTCTTTCATCTACGTGGGTTGTTTCACAGGGAGGCTTAGGGAAGAATTTCGTACAGCTACCTTTGTCAGAGTCCCAGCAAGGGAAGTCGGTTCTGTGATCCGTGCCACAAGGACCATGAACCATATGTCTCAGAACCAACGCCCTTAATCTGCCACCTGCCTCTTCCTTCGACGGGATATCAGCTCGAATGATGGAGTCTATGTCTGCTGCCTGAACAGGTCCATCGCCTTCGATTTTGAACACGATGTGGGCATGTGGAAGGCCCCGCATCTGCATTTCGATAACGTGGACTATGTACACAGAACGACCGAACATAGCTCCGCTACGTAGATCCCGAAGAAGTTCCAGGAGCTTAATGTAAAAGACCCTGCAGGCTGTACTGGGATCACTACGACCACTGCCTCGAGGACAAGCCCTTTTGTTTTCCTCCCAAGTCGCACTGTAGGTAAATGTAATAGTCCAGGCAAACTAAACAAACTTACATAGGGACCGTTAAAAAAATTGCAAGAAAACGTTTTATGGTTTTATTTTGTAGAGTTGGGTTTGCAGAATGACATACTAAAAGTTGCCAAAAATCGGTGCACGAGAAAACCACTAAAATCACAATTTAAAATGGCGGCTTTTTTCAACATTGGACAAATTAAAAAAACATATTTCACATGCATTTGCTATGCACATTTTTCGAGATATTGACTTGGGACCACCGCCTGTATTTATTGAGTGGTTAGTACTTAATTTTGATAGGGAACATGTTTTTGGCCGCCATCTTGGATCCGCCATATTGGACATAGATAATTTTTTTTCAATGTAATGATAGTGTTGTGACACATCATTACCAACTACATTTTTACACTGATTTCAATGCCGAAATCCGTTTTTAAATATCTTTATTCATTTAGAAGATATATACAAAAGAAAACTCTGCACCATACATTTCTTATGGACGTTTCGTAGTTTGATATTTTTTTTTAAAGTTATTTTTCTTATATCTCCAGTTCTTATTAACACTTGTAGTTCGTTCTAGGCTTAAAATATTCAGTAATGTAAGGGCTTTCATTTGAGCTCTTGATCATTAAAATCAGACGAGTTAAAGACCTGCTACGAACCTCAGAACAATATAAAATTTAACTTTTTAGAAATATATTTTTATTAAAATATTTATAACTCGGGTTGTTAATACGTCACCAAGTTCTTTCTTGTCTCAAATTACTCAGTGAATGTTTAGCTTTGATTTTATTAATCACTAAACAAAATCTGACAATTTTAAAATGAGCCATGGACCATAATTTAACATTAAAATGTATTTATTTTGAAATTTGTCTTTAGTTAAGGACATATATCCCAAACCCTAATAACTCCTGGAAAGTAATCCATAGCTAAAATAAAAGTCAATATTTTGGCGAATTATTTAAGACTGTAAAGAGTTTTGGGAGTTATTTAGAATTAGGAATATACGTCTTTAACTAAAGACAAATTTCAATATAAATACATTCTAATGTTAAATTATGGTCCATGGTTCATTTTAAAATTGTCAGATTTTGTTTAATGATCAATAAAATTAAAGCCAAACATTTACTGAGTAATTTGAGACCAGAAAGAACTCGGTGACGTATTAACAACCCGAGTTATAAATCTTTTAATAAAAATATATTTCTAAAAAGTTAAATTTAATATTGTTCTGAGGTTCGTAGCAGGTCTTTAACTCGTCTGATTTTAATGATCAAGAGCTCAAATGAAAGCCCTTACATTACTGAATATTTTAAGCCTAGAACGAACTACAAGTGTTAATAAGAACTGGAGATATAAGAAAAATAACTTTAAAAAAAAATATCAAACTACGAAACGTCCATAAGAAATGTATGGTGCAGAGTTTTCTTTTGTATATATCTTCTAAATGAATAAAGATATTTAAAAACAGATTTCGGCATTGAAATCAGTGTAAAAATGTAGTTGGTAATGATGTGTCACAACACTATCATTACATTGAAAAAAAATTATCTATGTCCAATATGGCGGATCCAATATGGCGGCCAAAAACATGTTCCCTATCAAAATTAAGTACTAACCACTCAATAAATACAGGCGGTGGTCCCAAGTCAATATCTTGAAAAATGTGCATAACAAATACATGTGAAATATGTTTTTTTAATTTGTCCAATGTTGAAAAAAGCCGCCATTTTAAATTGTGATTTTAGTGGTTTTCTCGTGCACCGATTTTTGGCAACTTTTAGTATGTCATTCTGCAAACCCAACTCTACAAAATAAAACCATAAAACGTTTTCTTGCAATTTTTTTAAGGTCATATCCTATATTTACCCGACTATAAGGAAAAACGTAGGAAAGCCGAGACGAGAAACTAAGGCCATAGCATTCTCGTAACGCAATTTCATATACCTCGGCCCCCCTGTGAACGAACTTGGGAGGTAAACTTTGCCAGCTTGTATCCCACCCTCCCCCTGAACAGTTTCATCATTAGCAATGTCGTTCAAAACCTGACGTCCTGCTTGATGTCCACCTCGAGTAACCGTCTCAACTTCATCCAACGGTCCTATCCGCATGGCATTTTCAACTGATTTAGTCTGCGTAAACTTTATATAGTTAAGCCTTTCTTCCTCGTATCTTGCATACATCTCGACCTGCCAAGCTTGAGACAGTCGGCCGAGATGCGAAAACCGAGGATCGGATAGTAGGAGGCAACGCGAATAATCATATTGCGACAATTTCTTATTAAAGTTGTCCAAGCGTCCTATGTGCCAGCCTAAAGTGCCATGGGGATAGAGCAGAGGATATTGAAATGGCTCCATAAGGGGACTGAACAGATTTATGGAACTGGGCCTACCAGAGCCAACTTTCCAAATCGTAAGCTTACGGGGCTCGTAAACAGTTTCCTCAGTGCTTAGAACAGCGTGTACCTCAACACCTGTTTGCCTGTCGCCTAGAATAGGGCCATGGGTAGCTCTACTTGTTACTTGGAAGTCCAAGTGAGCGTTGACTGCAGGTTCACTACCTAAACGCCGATAGTGAACAATGTACGGATTTTCCTGTGACAAAAATCGCGTAATTAAGTCAATTATGCCACCGTCGAGAGATCTACCCAAGGCAATATTCCGACGTTCTTCACCGTCATCGATGTACATGCGAGAACGATTTACAAACTGAACGTCCCCAGCCTTAGTAGTAAACTTTTGACCAGAGTCGGACAGATTGTAAACCTGGTGGTACATTCTCCCTTCAATTTTGAAAAATGAAAGACCACTTGGATGCCTGTACCCACCAGATAGTTCTAATGCACAAAACGCAAACATGTCGTTGTAAGCACGAGCCCTATCGAGAAAACGGCGATCTGAGTAGAACGATTCCTGAAGAGGCTGTAGATTAAGAACGTTGTTTGCCCCTTGACCACAACACCACTTCTTTCTACCCTTTTCCTCTTCAAATAGTCGAGCACCACAGTAAGAACACTTGAAAATACTATCATCCCAAAGGCTAATTTTGTTGAGATTAAAAGCAGGAATATTGTTCAGCAACTCCCCCTCCCAAGAACCCATTGGACCGTGATGAAAAATATGTCTAGCAAGTGCTGCTGGCAAATGACGAAGCTCAGAAAGCATAGGATTTTTCAGACGGAAAATGGCTACCCTTTGCCGAGAGGCGTCTGGATTCTTTTGACTGTATCTTCCAACAGCTTCCCTATTTACCTCGGGATGAGTTTGGCTGTATCGCTGTACAGCCTCCCTGTTAACCTCAGGGTGAGTTTGGCTGTAGCGCCCTACAGCCTCCCTATTCACTTCAGGATGAGTTTGGCTGTAGCGCCCTACAGCCTCCCTATTCACTTCTGGATGAGATTGGCTGTATATACGGACAGCCTCCCTATGAGAATCAGGGTGGGTTTCTCGGTGACGGCGAGCATCGTCTACATTTTTGTCCGGGTGATTATCCGTATATTTCTTCTTTGCGGCAGCAATTTGTTCGTCCTTAGTCGTGTTTAAAACTTTAGGACGCCCACGTTTCAATTTTTTTGGCCTTCCGGGTCCTTTTCGGGGAGTTTCGAGATTGGGGAGGGATTTAAACTTTCTCAAAGGAGAAATCACTACAACTGGATATAGGGTATTCAATTTTGGATCTTGGAGGAAATCAGGACTGGGGCACTGTGAAAGTGATTCGTTGATAGAATCGTTAAGAATTAGAAATTCAGGGCTAGGACAATGTGGGGTAGGAGTAAAATTCAAACTGGGGAGTGGTGTGATAACAGGGTTGAACACAAAGTCAAGCGAAGCGGATGCGACATGGCTATCGAATTTCAATTGTGTTATCGAATATTGATGTGCATTGGCTTCATACACTACGTTACATAGCAGTAGGGACGCTAAAGATATGTAGCTATCACACGCAAACAGTCGAGCCAAGTTGTTGCCCCTGATACTGATGTCATGCTGACGATGTTCATTTACTGCATGTGGATCAAACAAAAAGTATTTATCTTGGCTGTGCCAAAAGCCAACAGTCACGTTCAACCCAGTAAATAAAAACCCGACATTCACAGTAGCTCCTACAAACAATAGCTCTAACTCACAGGCGAGCTCTGCGATGCTATCATCTAATAAATCACGAGTTACTGGGTACAAAGCATCATATACATAAGAAATATCAACACGAACTTCATTTCCAGCAACCGTAAACTCGTGTGGAATTTCATCAGGGAACAAAAACCTATTGCCACCAACACAACCCTCATTACGTAATGACCTATACAATGCATCACCACTTAAGAGTATGGAATCAATGGCAAAAGTAGAGAATTCTTTCCCCAGAGACTTCCAAGCGATGGCACAGGCTGAGTTTGCCACACATTGGGCGTTTCTGCTGTAAGTAAACCTCGAATCCCCTTGATGAAACGATCCACTGGCAACACAAGTATATGCCATGTTTATACTTAATAACTCCGGAATTTAACACGATAATTGAACTAAGAGACAAACTGTATAAACAACAATTAAACGCAGAAGTTTTGCGTCTAAGTAAAGCACTACAAAGAGTCCCTAAGCAGGTACAAAGTAACTAATAACACAACCAGTCTTAAAAAACCAAATTAACTTAGCCTACTAAACAAAAGGTAGGCTCAATAAAGATGTTACCTACTCAGGATTAAGCTAAAAAAAATCCCTGGGATTATACGGTGAAAAACTAAAAACCAAAACCACTTATACTGTACGGCACCAGCGACAAAAACAACTAAAAGCCGTTAGGGAATGTAAATATAAATGGTGGAAATAAAA